GCACGCCTGCGGGGGGTGCCAGCAGAAGAAATCCAGAGGGTAAAGTAATCTTGCTTTTGGTAGTTACAATGATTGTTTGTTATGATTAACAGTGTTTTTAACGTGCCAAGGGCCAGAATTTCCAAAGCGGACTTGTTTTGTATACTGAAGTCCTGGGAATGATTCCTGTCCTTCAGACCATTAAGCAACAAGACCGCACTCTCAAATGCAGGTTCCCAGGCATTGTTGGTAATTGCAAACCTGTGGCACTAACAGTGGAAGGCTAAAGAAACAATTCCCGTGCCTCAGAACAGCACTGGTTGCTGTTTTGCTCTTGTATTGAAAGTTGTATAAGAAAGARAACATGAAGATTTCCCAGAAGATAGAACAGTTATACCAAGCAGTTAGAACTCCCCTGATTGTCATAAGTTTTGTACCTCCCTGGTCCAGTTCTAAAATGAATGTTCTAAACCCCAGGGAACTGTCAACTTTCTGCCAGGAGAGGGATGTGTCAGCAATCCTGTCTGTTGTGCATTTACTGCTGTGTGAAATGAAAAGTCTTTTTCACAGGTTGCTGAATGGGGCATCCAGMAGCTGGGACTTCCTATGTACGCAGACCACTTGGCAGGGACCTACAGTGGTGGCAACAAGCGCAAGCTCTCCACTGCCATTGCCCTGATAGGTTGCCCACCACTTGTCTTGCTAGTAAGTGTCATAGAAACACAGGCCTGTGATAGTTCAGTATAACRTCTCATAATACTACATGTTAAAGAGCTACAAAACCCTTGCAAGCCCCTTTCTGCCCTCAACTGACAGCTATTTCAGTGTAATTTTGGATTAATTTCAGGCATAGACTGGGATGCATAACTATGTATCCAATGGAYTCCAAGTGATTACAAAAGAAAGATCTTTAATAAAAAATGTTTTGAGATAAAATCTATAATCCAGAAAAATCTGAATTTAAACTGTGGTTTAGTTTGTCACCCTTTTGTTGTCAGAGTGTAGCCACTGTTGTAAAAGATCATCTTCTGACATATACACTGGGCTGCTTTATCCAGCAGAACAGAGGCAGATAGCTACCCTTTTGCAGCCTTTAATATCTTTTTAAAAAATTATACAAATTTATGCTAAAATGCTGAAATGTAATTTTTGCTAAATAAGTGATCAGATAATTGCATAGCTAAAGGAAAATTCTAATGAAATTGCTACAAAAATTCTTTATTTAGATTCCATTCTACCACTCTAATTTGTAATCTATTAAGAAGTATTTAAATACATGTTAGTAGCATGGTTCCTTGTACCATTTAATATGCCTTTACATATATCCTGCCTATATGTAGTAAACAGTCAGATAAAACATTTTCTCATAATCTCTTAAAACAMGATGTTCAATGAAAATCTTTCTGTCCAAGATTATTTTTTACTATTTTTGTTACTTACTGAGTTAGCTGATTTATGCAGTGTCAGATCCTTAGCTGGTGTAAATCAGAGTAACTTCACTAGTTTCTTGGATTGAGCAATGCCCTCTATGCTCATGTAAGATTACTTGGTGAGAACTCGTTGTTGCCCAGAAAAGGCATTCCTTTCCCTGTAGCTCTGCCCTACACAGACAACATTGTATTCTTACCTGCAGGTTCTTGTACTTGCTTCCTTACTGCTTTGTGCCACGAAGTCCATTGGTACCCATTCCCTGATATGCTTCTCAAGGTGTTATGTGCTTTCTCAAGGCACAGATTACACTAGAGAAGCAATTACATGCTATGGTCCAAAAAATACTTGATTCTAAAGAGATTTTCCCTTTTTCATCTGATTCTGATTGTCTTAACATTTCCATTACAGGATGAACCGACTACCGGAATGGACCCTCAGTCCCGGCGCCTCCTGTGGGACTCAATTGTGGGTGTGCTCAGAGATGGGCGAGCAGTGGTTCTAACTTCACACAGGTAAAAACAGTTAGAATTCAGAATCCAAATGCAGCTGAACATCATCTGTTGGCTTTTCTCTCAAATATCTGTTCTCTGTTTTGAAGTATGGAAGAATGTGAAGCCCTCTGTACTCGTTTAGCCATCATGGTACAAGGTACCTTCAAATGCCTAGGCACAATTCAAGAGCTAAAATACAAGTAAGTAGAACATTTTTATGGTGGGTTTTTCTAGGAAAACTTAATGTATGTGACATGTACCATTCTTAATACAAGTAATTCAGTGTTTAACCACACCTATTTCTGAGTGCACCTATTTCTGAGTGGTGTATTAGACAATCTGACCAGATCTGATTTCAACTCTATTAAGCTACATAACACTTCTGGCAGGGCAAATACAGTGCTTCCTAAAAAGCTGGGTCTTATGCATTATCTTTCAGATACTGTTACTGTTTTCATAGCTGCAGAAAACTAATTTCCTTCCTGAATGATGAAATCACCTCTTCATCCGATTCCTAAATCCACATGTCCTTCCCAGGTTTGGAGATGGTTACATTGTCACTCTGAAAATCAAAGCTCCAAAGTCTGGGCTGCCTCCAGATCCTACTCCTGCTGAGCAATTCATACGCATCAACTTCCCAGGGAGTTTACAGAGAGAGAAACACTACAACATGCTGCAGTATCAGATTTGCTCTTCCTCTCTGGCTAAAATTTTTCGATTAATAATCTCCAATAAGGAAAACTTGCATATTGAAGAATATTCTGTGTCTCAAACAACGTTAGATCAGGTGAGTAAAAACTAAAACRTCCATGAGAAAGCCCTACTGATAAGAATTAGGCAACATGATTGGGATGTATTCAAACAAGTGAAGGACCATATTGGTCAGAGTAGAGAATTATCTCACACCTTTCTCAGGCAAAATTCCCAGGCCTCTCATCATRGAGAATGGATCAGTATGAATCAGTAACTTATTCCCTGTACAAATAGGTGCCATTTGAAAGCTGGTCAGACAGCATTTCCCAGATGTCAGAGTTCACGTAACCCATTCCTACAGGAGCAGCAGTCTGAGCAGTCAAGGTCACCAATTTGRAATGAGACTGAGCTAAGAATAGCATTTTATTTTAAATAACTCTTTGGACTGTGTTGTATCAGAGATACTGTGAGAAGCAATTAGACACACAAATCCTGGAAAGTCCACTGGGAATTTTGAAAGCACCCACTTGCAAGAAGCTATTGGCCCCATCTGCCTGCTTTCCTGAGTAACTAAGGGTCCACATAAGGTCCCAATAAGGTCCCACAGCTGTTTTCAGTGGAACTGATAGAGACATTCCTGGCTGCTTTTCAGCTTCCTACTAAAATATTCTGTCTCCTCATTCCTATCACAACCAAACTCATGCTGTGTAAACCATGCAAACCTTGCTGAAGCCATCTCCTCCTTAAGAAAAAGTAGGATTTTAGTTGTTAGAAAGCACATCCAAAGGAAGGAAGTTTCAAGGAAGGAAGTTGCAAGGAATTTTATCAAAATAAAGGCGGAACTCATGATCCCAGCTGATAACACTGTCTCAGTTCAGCTGATGTCTGTGGATTGCCCTTTCTGTCTGTTTCCTGCGGAGCAGTCATTCCACTAACTCATCTCAGTTGAAGAGACGGTGACATTTTCTGCTTTCCTCACACAGGTTTTTGTGAACTTTGCTAAACAGCAGATGGAGGATGAGGAAATTGCTTTGCATCCGCGTGCAGCTGGAGCCAGCCGAGAGGSAAAGGTGTCCCCTGCTTTGCACCAGCAGGGAGTTGCATAGACTGTTCCTACAGTCTCCTGGCTTAGTGTGTGCACAGTGCAAACATGTGCCATTCCAGAGCAGAGCAAGGGTAAAACAAAGGTTCCCACTCTCAGTATTACACTGATTTTTTGTACCTTTCTGAGCACTGTGCTCTCAACARCAACAGCCCTAGCAACAGCCAACTTCTGCTGCTCTACCAGAACACTACATGCTGACAGTATCAAAGGAAAGGCAGATTCTTGCTATAGAATAAAATCTTCCTCTAACTTAAAGTCCATTATAAGGTACAAGAAGAGAAGTCTCATTCCTCCTTGTTGACATATAAACAACATCAAAGATGGATTCTCTATCTGGTACTTCCAGGCTGGCAGGCTTTTCTTGTTTAACCCTTATGTCRACTGCTGCAGTCCCAAGGCAGAGAGAGCATTGCCCAGCTCCGAAGGAGATTCCTGCCATGCTGAGTGCACAGGACTATCAAGGTCAGAACAGTGCTGGCTGGTGGGGCTAGTGCTGGGAGATTGCTTCACTGTCTCACCAGGCTGCCTGGGAAAACAGACRGTTGTCTCAGCAAGAATGAAAAGAATTAATTCAGATCTTAGATCCAGACAAGAAACTTGCTTTAAAAAAAATTAATTAAAATGATCTCATACTAATCTTCAAGTTGCCTCAAATGGAGGCCAAATGTCAAAATGGAGATTAAAGAGAGGAGTCCAAATCTGCCAAAAGTTTTGTTTTCTTGCAGAGACCTGGAAAGATAATTTTGTTATTAAACAAGACCAAATTTTTCTTCTTTCCTGTGACTGGACATTATATRGGTGTAAAGTGTGAATGGTTTCTACCTCCTCAGAAGGAAAATTTCAACCTGCTTGTTCTCCACATTGAATTCAGTGGGAAATCATTTGACATTTAGTTCTTTTCTCTGGTTCCCAGTTTAACTAGTGGAAAAACAATACTGAAAACAAATTCATAATTACATATTGCTTCAGGTACCTACCAGATCTAAACACTTCTAAGAAATCTTCTCTAAGATATGTTATACAGAATTAAAGTCTGGGTCATGTATTTTTGCTTTGAAAGATTATTTTCTTCAATTGATGTAGTTTTTTTTTTTTTATAAGGACACTCTTGCTTTGTACTGTACAAAATATGAGAAACTTCAGCAATCAGCTGTAGCTTTCTCTTTTTGCCATAATTATTTCAACTGGTTTTAAAATATAGTCTAGAATTTATTGTATATTTCACCATTATAAATAGTTGCAAAAATCTTTCTATACATCTATTATAGATAAATAAATTAATTATGAAACAAAACAGTATATGCATTCTCTTCATGTTCTAAAATAGCTTCTTTCAAATGTTATTCAAATAGATTTCAATAGCCTTTTTTACTAGATTTACACAAAACGCAACTAAGTCCTACAGAACATCCTGTGACAAGGAAAACACAGGAAGTCCAAAATGAAGCTGATTTTTCTTCCTGGCTCTAAAAATAGGAAGAGCATTCTGAGGACCAGCAGTCACTTCATGTATTTACAAAGTGTATTAAAAACCATTCAGAGAAGCCTGATGTAAAATGTTAGATGAAAGGTCCATTAGTATCCTAAGGAGCTGCTGTAGGAAAACAGGCCAGATATCGAGGAYATGGCATGGGTTAGATTGCTTCTGAATCTTATTTAGTCATATGCAATTTACTGATGAAGACCAAAAACAAACAGAAGAACCCAGCACAGGATATTATATTCACAAACACCACAAATACTTCTTACTTCAGATTCTTTTAGCAAATTAAGGGTTAGACCCAAATCAGGTTTTTGAGATATTGCCTATTTCTTTATTCCAGGAACCATTCATATTCTTTGGTAATGTTATCTGTTACAAAGCACCTGCCTCCAGGCAGCACACTCTCTTCTTCAAGTCAAAGAAGGCAGATCATGCAACTGTCCTGAGGCCAGTGGGCTGTGCTGGCAGAACTGAGCTCTGGTAGTTAGCTGGTGTGTCCTCRTTTCAATGTACTTCTGTCTTGCAGAATGCCACTGCTAATTTTGGAGCCGCTTTTCAGCACAGACTTCTCAGTATCTCTGATCCATCAATTTAAATAGACTAGTACAGAAAAATCTAAGTCAGGTTACAGTAAACTGCAGCTTTGCAATGAAGCCTTATTTTTTAAGGTGCTTCTGAGTTGAGAACTCTTGAATGTAAGGAAGAGTAGCCTTCAAGTGCATACAATTTCCCTTATCAGTGGAGATTCAATATGCACCAATATCCTTTTAATTAATTCATTTATTTGGTGGGACATTTATGCAGTTTTTCTTCTTGAAGTTCTGTGCAATATTCAAATTAAGCCTTCTTTTCTTACAATAAAAAGGGAATAATTGGCATTCTATGACTCGGATAATCCTTGAATTCTCGTAAGTAGGTGCAGTGTTTATCCTTTGCCCAGATTGTCATCTGAATGAAGCAAAGCAAGGTGAACAGCCCCACTGAAAAAAAGGGAAAAAAAGATACAATCCATTATCAGAATAAAAACATGCTCTTGCTGCTGACATCATTTCAGTTTGAAGTACCAAAACATTACTCACCTGGAACACACTGAGTCATGATAGTGAAACTGATCCAGGTCCCCACCTGTTTTGGCCAAGGAAATTTAAAATATTTCTGGTGACAGCATTTGCATTTATCTCTCTATTGATCAAAATAACCTTGTCCTAGTATAGGTAAATAAAAAAACCAAGTCAGCCAGATCAATTTCTACTGTTAATAACCTTTAGCCAAAAAGGTGAACAGTGCCTTATTATCACAAACAAAACTTTCATATTTGCTTCCATAGRTATTACAATGACAAAATTTTAAGGTTTAAAATAGTGTATTTTCTGTTTCTCTGCCTAATTTGTATTCATCAGACTTCCATCAGTGTTAGGAATGGTAACTTTCTGTGGTCTAAGGCCCAGTGCTGTTTGCAATAACATCTCTGATCACTGAATTTAAAAGCTGACACTGTCCCCCCGTGCAAGAATGACTGTTACATGAGTTGCACTGACTTTATCTGCTTTTGAACTCAGTCAGGAGTTTAGCTCCTGATTAAGGAACACGAAATGATAAACTGATTCAAGCTTCTAAAGCAGTCACCACCAAAATAAGTGACTGTGTAACTCAAGAAAATGGGGAAGAAGACCTCAGCTTATTTTCTTTATCACAGTATCTTCTATTTGTCTGACAACTATCTTCCTGCCTGCTGTGATATTTCTGGGCTCTTATAAATCCACCAGACACCTCCACCCTTTATTGCAAGAGATGTTCAGTGGCAATCTCCCTGTTCCTGGCTGCAGAATTTGCTCTGCTTTCCAGTGTATCTGTCTTGTCTAGCAGTGGCCTAGAGACAGGGCTGTCTGCATAAGGTTAATCCCATCAGTGTTGCATCAAGGGAGGGGAGAAGAGCAGACAAATTCCTGTCCACAATCTGATTTCATGGGGTTTAGGGAAGGAGGGGAAATGTACAGAGCTGAATTGTTTCAGAGGTTTCTYCCATGTTTAAAATTCCAAAAGTAACAAAAATATATTCAGCAAAACTTAAATCTGAACATCTGGTTTGAAAATACATACCTCATATGTATAGTTAGGGCAAGATACAAAGAAAAACAGCCATGTGAAAGGATTCTTTGTTGGATATGGGATCTTACGGGTTTTGGATCCTATAGATTAGAAAACAAATCACAAAATATTCACACTCCTAAACACATTGTATCCTGTAAAGACAACCCAACTTTGTCTACTCCTCTGTCTCATGACTGTGAGAGGGACAAACAGGATGTGGGAAGACAGCATGTCCTCTGGACTCACTAGAAGGAATAGGATAACTGTGAGGAAACCTTCTMTTGCTCATCAAAACATAGCTTGTACCAGCCCTGTTTCCTTTTGCACTGGCAGTATAACCAATGTAACTGCTCCCCCAGTACAACCCAGYCCAAAACAATAAAGATTACAGTAAGGTAAGAAGTGCTGTTCAACAGTCCGATGTTGGATTTCTTGCACTGCCTGATTTCCCTTAGAAGCCAATCTTTACAGGGCTGAGCAACCTGTGCTCCCACAAAGTCAGCTCATGGGCACCAACACCCCCCAGCCCAGGATCAGCTCTTTCCTGAAGCAGAGTAACTGAGGAAGTAATGAATGACTGCACGAAAGGGAAAAATMATGATGCAGTTTTTACCATTTCTCCGGAGGTCACTGAGTGCAACGTGAATGGAAAAATTTCCAGCTTCACACAGCTGCAAGAAAAAGTATGACAGAGTTTAAAATGTTCTTTCCTTCTATYTGTTTTTCTTCTCTTTGTTATTTCCTGGGGTCCTTTAAAAAAATAAGAAAAGGAACATAATCTATCATAAACATAATAAATGTCATTAACCAAGACTGCTGACAGGATGACACATCTTCATTCAAACATGAGTCCATAATATACTCTGTTATATATTTATTATATTTTTCAGAAATCTGCACTCCAAAAGATCAAATTTACTACTTACATAATCCCCTTGAAAGCTAAATAAACCACAGGGGATAGAAGTAATTTCGGGAGATACTTGCTTTATCTTTTGATCATTCTTATCTTATGTCTTTAAAAATGTCCAAAATTTTATTTGCATAGTTTTGGTTTCTCAAAAGTTATTAAAATCCCAAGGAAGATACAGTTTCATCTCTTAAGTAAATTTTCTTCTCTAGAGTATAATTGATAGGAATCATGAAATATAATTGACCCAGCTTCCTTCACTGGTTTTAAAGAATGCTTCCCCAATCAATTATGAAGAATGTGTATTGAAATGACCCATTTATATGATTATGGACAGTCTCCAGTGTCTCCAATACATAACTATTAAATAACTAGTGGTCAGAGCTCCTCAGTTTTATTCCCAGCTCTGTGCTTTCAGTTATGGAGTCTCTTATAAAATGTGATGAGATTATGACCACACAGTATTTTTGTACTGGGAAGCTGCTTTGAGCTCCTGCAGTCACTGATGATTAGTTTGTCAAAGCAAGTGAACAGCTGATGTTCTAAATAAGTTACAGCTACACARGAAAAATCTTTATACGGAGGTACATCTTTATTGGCTACAGTAACACTGCTTCTACATGTATGAAACGTTCCYAGGAATTGTGAGAATGAACAGTGACTGAAGAATTTAGATTTGTAAGGAAAGCTGTAAWAAAGTTCTGAAGGTCAGCAACACTAAACTCTATGAGTGGAAATTATCAGCAACATACTTTCTTAGCTGGCTAGTTCTCTGAGATTTATGGTCTGTTGTGATTCTTAACACTCAATAAACAGTTCACAAAACAAACTCACTGGCTTTTAAACACAGTGTCGCCAACTGGTTGTTCCAGTTTTCTTTTAAAGATTATGAGAGTTCATCCCAGCAGATAAACATCCTAGTCTTGGAACAGATACTGAATCAAAATATTCCTTTGTGTGCAAAATCACATTAAAAACTGACAGATTTATCTGCTCTGCATGCAAGTGGTCAGCTTTAGTAGTATGTCCCAAATGTTCAAGTGCTAAGTATCTGCTTATCTTACTCACTCCACCAGTCGTATGACAGAAGAAATAAAGCAGGATATTTTAGCATTTTATAGAAAGATCAAGAAACCTACCAGAAACATGATCACAGCAAAATTTATCTGTTTTTTCCCATAAGCTATTAAAAGAAGAAGTTTACATGTGATTAGTACTAGTACATGAAGTATGTACATAAATACTGAAATCATTGAGGGTCGTTGTGCTACTTACAAGGAGGAGTGTAAAGAGGGTGATTGATGTAATATGCAAGCCAAGCTGCAAATCCCCAGTAATATAAGCAGTTCTGAAAAACAGGCAATTTTTCTTTGTTTTAGTACAATGTTTTAGGCCAAATATTCACCACAAGGACTGTTGATAACAATGAATTGGGATAAGCATTTAACTTTCTGATACTACAGCAAAAAAATGGCAGTACTAAGTGTGGTAGGTAGGAGCAGATAACAGGAAATAACAGAAAAGAAGTAGTGCTCATAGAGTTTAGATTTCCTCTAAAATATCTTGGAGCTGTTAAGTTTATAAACAGTTTTAGAAAGTATGATCATATGATTGAAAACAAATTTATCTTGTCTGGCAAGCCATTGGGCAAAGTTGAAGTGCACACAGATTGTATGTTACAGAGACACTTGTTTTGCTGACCCCTGAGACTGTAAGGCCAGATTTGGGCACTGCCCTCTCTTCTCTGCTTATTATTTTGCACTGCCCAATCTCCTGTCCTCTTCTCCTTCATCACATCAGTTKTATTTCTTTTCCCTGCTTTAACTTTTCCTGGCTAATGCTTTCCTCTGCATGTTCACTGTGATTCCTTTAATTTGTCCCTTTTGCTGCTGTCCTTGTGTTTCCACTCTCTAAACTYTGATAACATAGCTGTCCCTACTGGCTGTAATGACTCATTCCTGCCCAATATTAGTGTTTTTTTATAGGCTTTATAAATGAAAAAGGACAATCTTTATCTCTTGTTTGGTTTCCTTGGCCCTGCCTCCCATGGGCTTTTTTCTGACACTCACTGTTGCTTTGGTATCTTGTTGACAGGTTATTGTCTCACTCCTTATTGGGAGGGAGGCCCTTTCTTGGCCCCTTCCTCTCCTTGCTCTCTGCTCTAACCTTTGGGTGCCTTTCTCTTGCAGACAGTGTTTAACTCCCATCAACAATTCATAAGCTCACCTCTCATCAGTTGAGTCTTCTTTTACCAAACCTAGTGCCTCAGTTTTTAATGTTTTAGGGTATGTTTGTTTATCACCTCGACCACAACTGAGCTCTTTATCTTCTTTTCTGTTCTTTCCTTTGCCTTATCTTTCCTTGCATCCTATTTTCAATTTTGAGTGAAACCCTGATCCTCTTACTCTTTCTGGTAGTCTTTCTTTTTCTTGGCCTTCCAAATAGGTTCCTATACATTGGAAATTTCTAGGTGTTTCAGCTTTCTCCTTCACAGCTTCCTTTCCTGCTCAGGCAGGCAAAAATCCCATCCAAGGCTGCATTTTTTAGTGTCCTGACTGGTTTCACGGTTTTTTTTTTCCTTTGAATTTTGCAGTCTTTTCCCCCTGTATACACCAGAACTGCATTTCTAGCAAAAATACCCTGGAAAAGTGATTACCTCAGCATCTCCAACCTGCACTAGCTGACTGCAGTGTCTGATGGTGCATTTTTTTGAAAATGCTGGTGCCCCCTCATCTGCCACAAACAGTTGTATCCAACATTCAGTTGCATTTCCCTCTTTCTACTCAGAGTCAATTGAACCACTGAAGTTCCCAGACACCTCAAACAAAATGCACACATTTTTGGGTATGCTGTAATACAAGCACATAAGTATGTCATTGCTCTGAGGTTATGAAAGAGAAAACTGATGAGAAAAAGCAAATGATTAACCAGTAATTATAAAACAGGTGGGACAAGTGAGCAGGAAAGTTAAATAATTTCCCTGTGATTACTTCATTTTCCCCCAGGAAATGGGTGAAACACGAAGAGCRATTCCAGTAAGAAACAATATAGGTAGTGTCCTATCCATAAACTACAGCTTCCTCCCTAACACTAGCTTYAACCAGCACTTCCAATTTACTAACTGCTGTACCAACTTAGGTGGAAACAGTTTCTTGTAATCTTGGAATGGCATCTTAGAAAAACCTTTTCCTGTCTTCAGGGCTTGGCACAGGATGGAACATATGGCAATGGATTTCAGTAAAGTAAAATTAAATAAATTAATTATGATGGCTCAGTCCCCAATGGTACATGTTGTAATTAAACTTAACAAGTACTATTCAGCCAAAGAACATGATTTACTGCAAGAGTATTCCTCAGTTAAAAGAAAAGGAGCTTTAAGATGAGTGGGGTCTACCACCACTAAGGACCTTAGCAGTAATGTACATGTCCAGCTGCCACTCGAATCCTTATTGCCCATACAAAAGCCTCCAGTGAGGTTCAGATAGGAACATGCAGATGCCCTAAACTCCCTTGAAAGAAAGAAAGACAGTGTTTCTGGGAATCTGGAATAATAAAGCTTTACAACAATCTCTTATAATGTTGCAGGTTAAGTTCAGATATTGCAGGGATCCCAAAAACAAATTATTCCTAAATTCCCAAACGTATGGTAAAGATTTTTGTCTATTTCAATTGATAATCCCTATTTCTTCATGTCCTGCCTATGTTTATTCATGACTAGCATGTACCCTTCTGTTTGTCTTGTTATATTGTCTTCTGGTTTAGATGGTATTTATTTACATTTAATGTTTTCTTTCCTCCAGATGTTTTTCTACAAAGTGATGATATCCCTTCTTTTTATTCACMAACATGTTCATGGGTAAAGAAAGACCATGTAAAACCAATCATGAGACTAATCTTAGAGGAATTCTACTGGTACAACCCTAGTATTAAAGGTCTGACAGATCCTTTCCTGGCACAAACATAATTATCTTTCTTTCAATTAGTTCCTTTATCATCATGTCATTTTTGTATTACTCCCTATCTTATTCATTCTAAGGGAGTTGTTTACCAGGTCCAGATAAATCAGGTATTCTACCTTTCCAATGCCTAGAATAATCATGTATGGGCATTATTTTTTCCTATTTCCATTCAGGAAAAAAGGATGAAAATCACATCTTTCATCAGTTCCCATCTCAGATTTCTTCTTATTGAGACTGAAGTGTCTCCARTACAGATAACATCCCACTGCACTTAGGAAATAAGCTATTTATGTCTGCTGTGTATGTGATCAAATACTGAAGATAAGAAGCTCTGTCTACCACTTGTATGTGATGGAAAAAAACGGGAAAAGGATGTGATATTTTTTTGCACTAACACAATTTTGGAGTAACACCACCAAGGTCAATGAAATTMCAAAAGCAAACCAAACCCAAGCATTGCTAAGCAAGTAGAGTAAGAACTGTGAGCAACTTTACAGAGGACAGCAAATGCCACCAACCTGTGAAGATGGAAAAGAGCAAGTGATCAGAATGACTGGTACAAATGTCAATTTTAGCAAGAACAATTTTTATGGTCTGAAAGCAACAAGTAGTTGTCAGAGATGGCAGTGAGAAAAAGAATTATCACACTGATTTTTTTTTCAAGGTAAAGTTGCTCATTTATCTGCTGTTTAGCATGCATTAGCCACTGTTGTGTCAAGAACAAGAGATCTGCAAACCTTTTAGCAATGCTTGCTGCAGCAAGCACAATAAATTTCTAGGGAGGATTCTTTTGGAAAGCCACTGCTCCACCACAAACCCTTCTCTTATTTTGAAAGCATGAAGCTAACACCAGTAGGACCAGAGCCACTGGACAGCTGTAGGGAGTCAGCCACAAGGTAGAGCTTCAGCTGCTACAAGTGTCACTGCCATAGCACAAATTACAAGAGACTATCTAGATACCAAATGTTAAAATTACCAAATCTCTTTCCCGCTGATAATATCTTGTGTTCCTTAGTATAAGGCTACATTTGACTTCTATTTGCACTCCGTTGCAAATATTTTGAAAATAACTACAGCCTATGCATAATCATGCAGTCACTGCATGGTTCTCAGAGATCTAGGAAATGGGGTATGCATAACAACAGCCACCCTGTGCCACAGCAGCATTGGGGACATGAAGGAATGCTCCTGTGGAGAAAAATTTGAGAAAATGCAGAACAACTAAGCTGCTTTGCACTGGATCAAAGGTAAATTAACAGTTCCTTAACAATGAAGATAATTTTYGGGGCAAAGTAGATACAGAATAATTACAACTTTGTTACCAAAAAAAAATCTGTTTTTAAAAAAATGCAGCCCTCCCACCATTGTGCCTGCCTGTGCTACTTTTAAAATTAACTTGTTACTAAAACCTTCACACCCAAGGATCAAGCTGAGTGAAAAGGAAGGGTATGTTGAAGGTTTAAAATTTTAAAGAGTAATGAGATTACTATAATGTTAGTAACGGTATGACAGCATGTGGGTTATACAATAGTGACATTAAGAAATCTTCTGAAAGAACTGCAGCTTTATGGGTGAGATTTRCTGCACATTGCTACAACAGCCACACAAAAAAAGTCTGTGGTGCAGAGGCAGAGCATAGGCTGGCTTGGCTGGGTTTGTAAAGGCAGCTATGGATAGATTCTGACACAATTTACCTTCACAATATTCCTCAGTGGCATAGTCCCACGGGAGAACCGATGAACAAATACTGTTTCAATCAACCTTTTGATGTAGTGGAAAGAGTGGCAGATGCATGCCAAGCTAGAAACAGCAAGACAAAAGCATTTAAGAGTGCTTAAAAAAAMCAGGTGTGGCAACACATTTGGACTAAGACTACAAGAAATACTGCTCARGCCTGCAAAAGGACTTACTTAACTACTGGGTGCGGATTTGATGTAAACCTCTCATCCAGTCCATAGACAAAAGTGATGCGGAAATAAAACAGAAAATAGATGAACAATGGGCCTGTATATTCTATCAAAAATACCTGCAAAAAGAGAGAAAATAATTAGACAGCTGAATCGATGATTTTGCTTGGTTTCTTTGTGATAACTAATGCAGTGGGGTAAACACCTCCACAGATCCAGGATGGCACTAAGAGAGGCGGGGTGGCTTGGGCTATGAAAGTGGTAGACATGCACGTAAATATTTTGCAATGATTTGCCTCAGTTGCATTCAAATAGCCATTGCCAGTGCAGCAGACACAGTATGAAAAGATAATAATGGCAGCCCRGAGTTCATGACAAATATGCATGCATGTTACATTTATGCAGCTCTCACCCTTCTCTCGCATTCAAAAACTGTTGCTTTATTTTGCTTTAAAATGAAATTTGGTGAATAATTTGTCTTGAAAAACATGAGTTGTGCTTCTACTGAATGAATTTTGTTTAAACAGGAAACACATCTTGTAAGTTTAACAGTGACCTCATCTGTGTGAACGGTTAACACAGCAGTTGTCCTGGGAAACAATAATTTAATTCTATGTTCAAACAGGTTTTAATTTAAATACTAGGAGGAAAATAAAAGGAAAGAAAAAAGAGAGGAAACCAAAGATTCCTCTATATCTATTCCTTAGATATTCTCTAACTTGATTTTATTTCAGATAGGTGTGTATTTCTTAGGAACATTGCTTTAAATTGAACTCATGATTAACAGCTGAATTTTCCACACTTCTRTGAGGAAGGTAGGCCTATACCTCACTTATGGAGAAAGAAGGGAAATTGATTGTACTTTTGTCACAAAAAAAATCAACAAAACAAACAAACAAAAAAAACAAACCGAAACAATCCCTGCTCTGTAATGTGTTTAGTGTTCTTTTGATACTCAGAGAAGTTGGGTTATTGACTTCTGTTACAATCAGCATTTTCTCTGGTGAAGATCAGGTGTGCTTGTAGATGAAAAGTTCAACTTTTTGATTTGAAAATACTGAAGTATTTCTTGGCTTGTATTTGAATGAAATAGCTTGAAGGGCAGGGAGAGCAGATTGTAAAAGATAGATTATGAAATGACAGAAGCCTGCTGTTACTCTGCACTATGATATTATGGTGTTTATTAAGGCACATGTGTATTGAAGTCCACACTGCCATTAGACATTTTTGCCTGTCTTCCTGTTTTTTTATATTGTATAATAGCAGCTTAATTTATCAGCATTGCATCCAAAGTAATGATGTGAAGACTCAGTCTTGCAGAACATTTGACTTCCTTTTAATTTTACCTGCTATTAAGATTGTCTTTGCTATTTGTAATCAAAAAAGATTTTATTAATGTCTCATAGATAATAAATGGCAAATATGCCTTTCAATTAAGAGGTAATTCTCCCTTGATGTTGTGCTGTTTATTGGAACTTGTGTAATATTGTGCAGCAAGGAACTTTTAGAGAGCTGGAAGGGTCATTGGTCCCCTCACTGCAGAAACAGCAGTGCTGTGTTGCCTGCCAAGTGAGTTGTGATAAAATTTGCATTTGAGCTAAGACAGTAAATATGCAAGGTCTTTGTGGATGGCTGCTAACATTGCAGCAATTATCAGCTGTCATTAGCCTGTCACTGGCATCCTGGGACAGTCACATGCAGACAGCAACTAATCTTACTTTTATGCATTTTCTTGCTGAAGTCACTTCAAGTACTGACATGTGAAGTTGCTCGCATGCCTCTTTGCAGGACAAACTCATAGGAGTATAATCCTAATTTTGTCAGGAGTTACACAGGTCCCATGAAGCAGATTGCCAAAGGCATTTACACACCCAGTTCCTAATGATTTTGCAGTAGACATCCATTTGACAATCTGCATCTTAGTTCTGTAGAGCCAGCCTACCCTGCAGCMGGTTTTCCACTGCAGCTCTCCCAGGGAACAAAATAGGCATTCAAACTGTTACTGCTTTCCCTGATTAAATGAACTGAAGCAATGAGGATTCATTGCCTGCATCCACCATCAGAGCAGACATCATGCAGAAATATTGGAGAGAGACAAAAAGTGATGTAAGGATTAACTGTGGAAAACTAGCCATTAGAAGGCTCAGACTTGAAGTAGAGCTCACCGTAGTCCATCCTATCTGTGGCCCTAAATCTTTAAAGTATAAGGTAGCAGTTGTGCCAACAGGGAGGTGCTGCAGGATTTCTTCATCCCTCAGGGACTTTCCTTCTGAGAAGGAAAGAAGTAATTACATCTTAGTGAAATTCAAGTCAACTTTGGTAGCATACTAGCTTTATAAGGTGTTTTAACCAATGTACAAGACACCTTGATGTGATGCATGTTTATTGGAATCTCAATAAACACACTAGGACTATTTATACTTAATTCTTAATTATCCCTCTTATCACATATAAGCCTGGATCCTCTATTCACACCAAAACAGTTAAAAGAATTCTCAATCCTGTGTGCCTGCCTGGTCTAGCAGACTTGCTTCATCACTGCAAGCAGTGGAATTTGTTGATGGGTCACTGCCCTTTACCAYAGTTCACTGGCCTCTAGTCAGCTGCACCTCTCTCTCTCTCCTCTCTCTTCCACTGTTCTCATTGCTTATCATCAGACAAACAGAAGATAGGATAAACTGTTATTGGAAAACTCTCCTATAGAAATTTTCATTGCCTTTTTTTTTACCAAATAGCCAGCTAGGTGATACCACAGAACCTGAGATTTTAATGGCTAGATTTGGAGAAATCTCCAGAAGGCCAGCATTTGCTCATGGCAAGTCTCACTATGTAAGTTCATGGAGGAATCTGACACGGGAGACCTTCAAAGAAGGATATAAAATGCATCTATTTTCTATGGATAGATTTTACAGATCTGCAAATCTTCAGCCACACATTTTTAAGGGACTATTTACATAAGATTAGACAAAGAAAGTGAAGGAAGAACATGTTATATTTTAACTAGGATGAATTAACAGAGTTTGGCAATTCTGTGCACACAGGCCATGTACTAAGAAGCTTCTAGTAGCAATACTGACAACTGTATTAATGAAGTCAGCCAGCTGTCATCAGCTTCGTCAGCAATTGCTGCATCCATGGCAATGTGTTCTGCATTAGCTTCCCTCAAAAGAACTGGTAATTCCTGCCTGAGAGCACAGGATTATGTGAATGGATAGCTCAAACTCAGAGCCCTTTTTGGTACTCCATCATCATGGGCATCATTCCACTACAGCTAAGGGAAGTTAATACCAGGATCCTGTGCTGCACTGGAGAGTAACAGTGCTCAGCAGTTAGAAAGCACATTGGAACAATGTGCAAACTCCTGAGTTAATTACCAAGCACCAGGGTGGAACTGTGTTTACTTCCAAGGAATTAGATTTGCTCTGGACACTTCAGCTTTCATAGTGCTAATTAACATAGCTGGAAACTGATTCTTAAGTGCTAATACCCTTAAGTACACCTTTCATGCCAAGGCCCTGCCCTGARTTTAGTTATGCCAGACCTTACAAGTACTTACTTGGATCAAGTTTTATTGACTGCCTTGCTGGATACCACCGAGGATCTGTAAGACCATACAGAATTGTGTGATATAAATGTTTGGTTTAGGTCTTCCACTACTATAACGAATGCAATACAACAAGATAAGCTTTAGTTAAAGGTATTTATGAATATCTATTCAACACTAATATAGGTGATAATTTATGGGACAGAAAAAAATACTAATATTATCAGGATAGAATAAAATAATTTTTATGAAATCCCACTGTGATCACATTCATGTCCAGGTGATCAGCATTATGTATATGTATATCATATAATTCAAATTATGTAATTTTTTCSTATTTATGATATTCTGATGTGATGCAAGCTACTGCAAAAGTTATACTCACATAATTTATGGAACATCAGTCTGATTTCTCTAATYGTAGCACTTGGTTCCACCTAGGCAACAAAAATATTATATACATAAGATGCATATTTTGAAAGACAGSTACTATATGTAAGACTATTAAGTCAAATAGAAAAATTTACTTAGAAAATTTAACTATTTCTTACTGATGTCTAGCCTTGGTGTGAAGAATTCAAAGTACTGACAGGAAAAAGGCAGCACAATTTCTGACACCTGTTTCAGAGGCAGCTTCTCTAGCAGTGATCAAGAGTTACTACTACAGCAGTGACAATTTGATGGCTTCTCAGTAACACACAACTGGCACCCTCTTAGTAAAGGATCTGAAGTTGTCCTTTTTGCCCAAAAGCTCCTTCTGGAAAAGGGTTGAAGTACACTGTAGTCATCATGAAGTTTTCAAGTGGCAAAGGAAATGCCAGGAGATGAAATACGCTGCATAAACATTACATTTAGTAAAGAAAAGTTAGTAATTCCTAAGAAAAGTCTTTTAAACAGATTTTAAAAAGATTTTAAAAGCCTTTTAAACAGATTTTTGTTTTACCTTATCTAGGAAGCATAGCTGTTTCTTTGTCTCCCAATCAAGGATTTCCACCTGAGAGGGCACAAAAAAAAAAATAATTAACGATTATTGGCTAAATAATGTATAAACTCTTAATTGATTCTCAAATTCATAATCGTCGCTCAGAGTGAGACATTATTTTTCTCTGATCTGTGAATTGTGTTAAAAACCTTTCTGATGTTCTCAAGAGACAGCTTTAATCACAGTCAGGTTCCAAAAGCACTCAACTTGGAAAAAAAAAAGTCAAATGAATTGTCTTCCTGGATATATTTGATAGCAGGAGTAGCTAAGTTTTTGGGGTATTTTCTTATGTTAGAGCAAGAGGAACAAGGAAGGGATAGAGAAGTTTCAAGGAATCACTAAGGAACAATACTTTTATGATCCATAAAATTAGAAAGACAATTTGAGAAAAAACTGAAATGTGTTTATATATGTAAATATATATGCATGTAAGCAAATATTCTGAGTACATACAGCTTAATGATTAATGTATATTGCTCCCAGAATATTTTAATTGTAAGGAGGGTGGAAAATATTGGCGGACTTAATGAACCAATGCAGCTGAATATCTGGGCTTTACAAACGCTTAAGCATCTGCTATAGGAATTCTTGGTGTTACTCTTGCCTCTTAGATCACCTGTTTTATTAACTCCACATTAGCATTCCAAGCAATGGTTTAGCTACAGCTCTGAAAATTTMTTTCCATGATCTAATGGCACTTTTGCAAAATGTTATTATTTTGATCAACAGCCAAGCAGAGAAATTTTTCAAGCTTTTCAGAAATTTCAAAGCCCAGTTGCAGCAGTCTTTCTAAACCTCATTGCAGTTGTTAGGGCAATCTAGCATTAATTATGTTTGATATTAACTGACTGAGAGAATAGATTAACATTAGACTTTAAATATGATTCCTCACTAAAAATAGGAGTCACAGTCCAGTATCTTTCTCAGAGGGTTGCTTTGAAGAGATCGCTTGCTTAGAGTATCCTATTTCCTTGTTTCGCTCATCCCAAAAGGTTCTTTTTCTATTAGCACAGCAATGGGGTGCTTCAGCTCCAGCCACACCTATCAAATCTGACTTCCACAAGGTTTACTAATGCCATGATATTTTCTACCTGTGCATTGTAAGCTCTAACTGGAACATCAATGGAGGTAAGCACTGTTCCTCCTTTGTGATATATAAGATGTGATGGATTGTTAGGATATGTTTTCCCATGACTTTTTTTTTGTATTTGAAATAACATAAGTCTCAAATTTTCATGTCTGTTTGTGTGAAATCTCCATGGGAAAGCAAATGAGGTGGATCCCTTTCCCAGAAGATTATTCTTGAAATACACCATTCTGACACTTGCAGTCCACAGGACAGGTACAAGGCAGGGAGTGGGGCTGTACACCAWTTTTTGTCCTTTTTGATGCCAAGGTGCTACAAAGACTATTGAAACCTTTGGTGTATCTCAGAGCTCCTTGTCAATGAATACCATTGAGCTGCCCTACAGACTGCACCAGTGCCTACATTTTTAGCAGTGTCCTTCCCATTCCATACCCAATCCAAATACTTTTTTTTTTTTTTATCAGAATCCCCCAGAGGCAGTTTTACTCTATGGCCTTCAGTGGCTGTATTAGGGAGATCTTCTCCAGGTCAATTACAGGGTGGTTTAAATATCTTTCTGCCACCTATGGTATTTTAGTTGGCTTATTGTTATTATGCACAAGGCCAGACTGAAAGTTACAGAGTTTTTCTTTTGCTCTGTGGTTTTTATGGGGGTGGCTATACAGAAATTTCTGTAAGCCATTGCAATGGGTGTAGAAAACAAACAAATCATCCAAGATGTTATTTACTGTTATTTGGTTCTGTTCCTGAGGATTCTTTCAAATGCCAAACTCGTTCTTGCCGCTACTGGTCCATTTCTGCAAATCCCTGAAGGAAGCCTATAGAGGTGATGGATCCAGACTCTTCTTGGAGATGCACAGAGATAATGGTGAGAGAGAATGTGTCTGGATGCAATATGGGAAAACCCAGATACAAGGAACTTTTTCACAATGAGCTAAACCAAATACTAGAAGTTGCTTAGAGAGGATGTGGAATCTACACCCTTGGAGACATTTAAAACAGGATAGGACAAGACCCATTGCTATTTGATCTGACTGTATCTGTTTTGAGCAGGAGTTGGATTGCRTGACTTCCAGAAGGCTCCGGCAACCTAAATTGCTCAGTGTTTCTTTTTCTTCTTTCTTTTTTCACTTCAAACATTTAATTTACTTTTATTTACTTTCAAGATCTAAGCAAATATCAAACATTCTTTCCCTTTTCAGAAAGATGGATGCCAAAACACAGCTTTAGATGCCACTCCAGCCCATAGCAAATGATGCAACAAGAGAGGGAGAGCAAGGTGACTGTTTCCTCTAATTATCACGCCTCTTAGATTTATTAGAACATCCTCCAGTGTAGATGCTCCCTGCGCAAGGAGCAGAAAAGCCTGATCCAAAACAAGGAATGGTGTCTTTCCTGAACATCCCAGCCAGCCCCATGAAGCAGCGTATCACTGAACACAGTGTTTCCAGCCTTGAGGCGCAGCACCAAGYCAGTTAATGCATTGGTTGGCAACGGTTTTCAGATACCCAGCAATCTGTTCTTGGAACGCCTACTGATGGGTATCATCTCTTTTAAACATAAATTGTTTGGCTCAGAGAACTTTAATTTCATTGTGTTTTCAAAGCATTTAGCACAATAGGACACCAACTGTTGGCCTGCATTAGAGCAGTAAGACTTACAGTCCACTCACTCGGTGAATTTTTAAAGACATTTTAAACTACAGCTTCTCTGAGACAACTTTGAGTATAATCAATAGGCAGATTTGTGCAAGATGTTAAAAACTCTTTACAAATATGTATCTTTGATGCTTAGAAGACAAATTTGTTCTATTACATAAGGATTAAAGATTGATGCTCTCATTAATAAAAGAAAAAAATTTGATTATTAATAGTTAGAACAGGTTGAGGGCAAAGAATAATCAATATACAATATAAGCAGAGAAAAGTACATTTGGCTGCTAAATTTTTATTCAGAAAATACAAAGGTAAAATAAAAGAGGGGAAAGTATTCATAAGGGAGAAACAGCTGAGCAAAGTGTTTTAAAGGAGTTTTTTAAGATGCAGTGTCTCTGTAATAGGATTATAAAAATATAGTCAATTGAATTCAATTGACTGTTGAATTCCTGCAGTTTAAAGCCATATTAAGTGTTAAAGGATCAACAGATCTTCAAAAATGGTGTGATAACTATTATGGAAATACTGACACATTTMTCATGTCTGGGCATCTTAGAAGTTTAATTTGAAACCATTTGTAATCAGCAGATTGAGTAAGCTTGAGTGAGACTTTATAAACCCTGACATAAGCATATATTGTATTGATTTCTTTCAAAATTCCTGACTTAAAAAAAAAATAATTTATTTCACAGTATAGGAACCAAGCAGTCTGAAAAGAGTAATGTAGAATGAATTCTCCCTGAACTGTTAGAATGCTTACATAAATCAGTTTCTTTAAATTTAACCTCAAAGAAACAATCCAGCAGTTGCCACAGTCCTAAGTGAATCTTTCTAAACATTTTTCCCAAGTAATTATTTGTTTTCTCTATCTCTTTTGACTTTTCTGGTAGACTGTGCTATTCCTGAAGGAAGTAAGCATGCCTTAGTGTGATSTCACACGGGGACATATCAAGAACAGCTTTCTTGAAGTGAAGAGTAATGCCAAAGGGAGATTGCCCTAAGTGTACTAGCACTGAAAATTATCTTTGTGCTGCTGCTGCTGTTACAATTGACTCTCAGTCTGAGCCTTCTCTTGCACAGAAAGGTACAAACTGTTGCAGAGGATGACTTTAAGGATCCATCTAGAATTGAATCTTTCTGAAACAGCCAGCAGCAGGTGACTCAGAAAAAGTAGTAAAACGGGAAGAATGTAGAGGGAAAGGGAAGAGACAGACAGTGATTTTTATTCTCCTACCCCACAAGTGCTGCCTATGTATTTAATAACTTATGATCCATTTTTTTTTCCCTCAACTACTTTATCCATTTGCCTTTTAAACCTATGTAAACTGTCCTGAGGCAGGGAGTCTCACATCTTAGCCACATGCTATGTGAGGAATGCCCAAACCAGAACCAAGGCAAATGTTCAACCACAAAGCAAAATTTCATCATCTTAGCTGTAGAGGTGCTGAACCTTATTGTGCAAGTAGTCCAGCTACACATATTTCATGAGACTAGAATCTAATTGCATAATCTCACTGTGTATAAAGATAAGAGTTACTCTGATGCCCATACTCAAAAGGTTTTCTAAAATTAATTTTCACTTCATAGAATTTAGATGTCTAACATTTACAGGTTCACAAGATGTATAYCAGATATTTAAATCTCAGCTTCCTAAGTCCTGCTCTTATGCAAGCCACTGAGCATCAGCGTTTGACCTGTGCTGAAACTCGTACTGCATTTTGATTTCTTCCACCTGTTTCATATTTGTTAGTTAGACATGCTCTCATCTCAATCCCCGAGGACATTGATCCAGTAAGCATCTTTATCCCAAGGTCAGCAAAATGCACAGCATTTAGATTATTTCTGAATGAAACTAAACTGTCAGCAAAGGAGATGATCTCGTTCTTCATGCTTTACATGTAATAGTTAGACACACTGCCAGGAAGTGGAAAAATTGCTTTAGAATGTCCTTTGCCATTCCTCACATCTCTCACAGACAGGCCAAAAAGCACAAGAGGAGAGGACACGAGTGGATTTCAGCGAAAAGGACAGTCTTCTGCCAAAGAGAAATCCTGAATTTCAGTCTCTTTGGGCTCCTTTAATCACTGCTCCCTTCCCAGAATTACAGAATTATAATTCTGTTCAGTATTTCTCTACAGCAGATGCCTTTTGGGATACCACACAGTAAAGAGATAAGAGCTGGAGTAAACTTGGATATCCTCACCAAATTGTCATATCTGATCTTGGACCTGCATGCCTAACCCAAAGACGTGGCAAAACCCAAGTTGTTTTGTGAGCCTGGACCTAAGGATGATAACAGCGCTACAAATGGACTTCAGAAAGACAAATGCATTTATATAATTGACAGGGATAAAATGAGTCAGCATAAGAAGTCAGGAAAGAAAAGGAAAATCTATTCACTTGGGGTGGGAGGCTGATTTATTTTTCAAGAAAGGAAGAGCCATTAGGGCTTTAACAGTTAATTCTGGCTCTTGAAAGTCTATGAAAACTTTCTAGTTTTTACTAGTATGACATCTTTCAGGAGGATACACAAGGTGAAAAAGAACCTGCACCAGTTCATAGTGACTCAGTGTGTATTTACTTACACTGGCTTACACAGAGCTGCATGGTGCCAATTTCCCAGGCATACTGAAAAGTCACATCATTCACTGAGTATCACTGTCACTATGAAGCACACTGGAGTGCCTCCATCTGAGAACCTGAGCCAGCTTTGACTCAACGCTAAGCAGACATCCAGGTTTTTCAGCACCACTGCAAAGCCTTTTCCTTGTGCAAGAGAATATTCACTACCTTGGGGCTCTAGTTTAGGGTGATTATTTTCTGCAACAACAATATTCAGGTAGAAGAGTTGCACAAATTCTTTGTGATATCACAATTTCATCTTTGTATCAGCACTGTGATTTGCATTAGCAAACTTCAGTATTTCTAGTTGCATTAGTACTCTGTCCATAATTTGGTGTAGGGATGTCAAAATGTATATTCAGTGTATGCTTTTTATACAGAATAGAAGAAACTGAAGAGATTTTTTTTGTTTGTTTTTTACCTAGCAGCAACAAGAATGGGTCTGCTGTGTTTTGGTAGGGCAGGAAAACTGGAAACCCTGGCAATTGTAGAGACCTTATACAGACAGGTAAACTCACAAAACTTGTAWTTTTTTTAAAAATATAATTCAAAGAAGCCAATTATTATTTTCTAATGTAAGAATCCTAATTTCAAAAGTAGCCTTCAAATTCTGAATAGTTCCAGGTACTTCCTGCCAATTAATGTTTTGCTATCATATCCTATACAAAATTAAACTTCTCTCTCAAGCTTCATAGAGAAAAATTACTGTATTTTAAGTGAAGCAGCACAACTGTGTGTTTAAATGTTGGTAAATGTGTGTAACAGTGGTGAGAGAAGAGAAAGGGAWAATGTTTTCCCCCATCTTCTCATTTCTTTCTGGGATAATAATCTTTAGTGTTACTTGTAAAAACAGAGCAGATGTCTTCCAACAGCAGGGMAATTTTCAGTTGTCCCTTTAAATGACTTTTCAGATATCTCATATGTGGCCTTGTTTGTCTGGCAATTCTTGGAGGAATACAGAATCTTGTAAGGTTCTGCAGTCCTGCTTTTGGCATTGTTTTTACTTGAGGAGGCTTTAGACAGCATAGCTCTGAGACGGAGAAGCCTTTGTAACAGGAGCTGTGACATCTCAGCCATGCCAGCTCAACAGCAGTCATCATCCCCCTTACATTCAGAAGGTTTTCATCATAGACAGAAGATGTTTAAATGCCAGCAAGGGGGGGGGGACAGTACATTATTGCTTTTAGACTGTACTGCATATGTCAGTTCAATCTATCATCAGGGAGTGGAGATTCCAAAACATTTTTGGGTATCACTGCTCACAAGAGGCACTTAGCATCCAAACCAGTTAAGGAAGCAGAAGTACAACTGTGGCTCTTGTGACACATATTTTCTACAGTATGAATATATTTGTTCAAGAATCTTTCCTCTAGAACACCATACTACTTTCTTTATATGAGATGCTTTTGAAGACCTAAACCTGCCAAGTGAAAAGAAAGAGTATAATTCATTAGTCTAACTTCAAAGCTATGCTAGAGACATTTATATCTGAGCATGTCATCCAGGCATCCCTTGTATGGAAAGGAGGAAAACAGGCACCGAGAGGATAAATGGTATCACAAGCTCTGAAACATGTGTCAAATGGGACAGAAGAGTTGCTCTCTGTGCAACTTAGAGAAATGAGGACTCCTAAAGAACATTACTCTAGATACAAGCCCCTATCTTTGATCCATCTCTGAGTCTTTGGAGTTGAATCTCCTCAAATTATCAGGTGCAGTATCTTCAAGTATACGCATATTTATTTATAGCTGTCCTTGAGAAGCTTCTTCTGAGCTATTAGTGATTACAAAAAATGAGGTGAAAGTAGAAATATACCTATACCTGAAGTAAAGAAGACAGTTTGGTGATTATGAAGTGCTTTGTGATTCTTACCAGGAAGCACCACAGAAGAACAGTAAAGGGTAAATGGTTTATAAATGTATAGGGGAGAGTACAGATTTATACAGTTCCTCAAACAGGGAATGACAAGTTTCTAACAACAGTAGAGATTCTTCCCGTTCTCCCCAGGAACTCTTATAAGAAGTGGGATACTCACCTTCTCTCTTTTGATACCTCAGCTTCGAATGTGTGGTGGGGAAATGGAGCTCAGAATTCAATGTCAATGAATTTTCAACAGAAAGCAAATTGGGRAAAACAKTGCAGAAAGCAACAGCACTGCTCAGTGCTACTTARGCAGTCTTGTCCACATCCTACCCCTGAGACAGCTGGATGAGCTGGGCAAATCTGTTTCCACCCATTATCTCCTATAAAAAGAAAAGGACTAAGACATACAAAGCTGACATGTAAATTCATGAATCATACTGAGTTTGAATTAGTGTTGCTTAAACTTGTTGTTGATTTAGGGCTCAAAAGACCTGGATCCCCTGCTATTGTTCTGTCTAGCGAGATTGAGCAGGTCAGTCAACTTTCATGTGTTTCCCCATCTGCAAAATCAGGTAACAATAACAATGTCTGTGCTTTTGAGGTCTTCTAGTAACTAGTGCTGYTCAGGAGTTCAAATAAGGCTGAGGCGGAAGAGCAAACCTGAAGTGACTGAAGGCATTCAGGAGAGTTACACACACATGCTTGCTCCTGCATTTGGATCTCACAACAGTTTGGTAGAAATCCATGAGGCAGTGAAAAGCTTAGTTGTTTTTCCTAAAAAAACCTGGGAAGTCAACACTGCTGAGGAAAAGGCATGGTGCAGATGCCTATTTCACACCCACAAGAACTATAGGCAGTTTATTTTGCTGAATTGTGAGGTCCAGATGATTTTTATCGCTTTGAAAGTAAAATCTGAAATTTTACATCATGGTAAGTTACTAAAGAAGCAGACACTTTTCAGATGGTTTTGGATACTGTTTGTGTTATAACAACTGCTTTGTTATTTGCACAGAGGGAGGAATTATGTTCCTCCTTCTGTGCTTTTTTTTAGGTAAGTCATAATTGAGAAACCCAAGAATAAGCCTGCAGAAACACATTCAGGATTGCTGTTATTTAGCTTGTACAGACCTGTTTTTGTAATAGATGCTGCTTTTAATATTTTTTGTGTTAGCCAGCCTAACTAATTCTAGCAAAGAGTCGGTGTGGCTGTTTATGTAAGTGGATGAGATGTTACCCTTGACGCTCCCCAGGTGCACGTTACTGTGCGCTTTCTGTAAGCACAAGGAGCTGACTGTACTAAACTCCGCCCGGCTGTTTTTGTCCCCGACGCGAGACCGAGCRCTCCGTGCTAACAGAGGCCCCTCTCCCCTGCCCGCCGGACAGTAGGCACCGCGCCGGGAACCGTCCTCTCGGCCAGGGAACGAACTCCCCCGCCGGCTCCCTGTCGCCAACCTGAGCCAAGCCGAGCCGAGCCGGCCCAGGGCGATGCCGCCCGCGGCCACGCCTGCACCGGGCCGGAAAACTGCGCGGGACGGCGCCCRGCGAGGTGCACGGCGGCAGGTGACGGGGTCCTCCGAGAAGTTGGGGACAGAAGGTGCCGAGAACATTCCTCGCTCTCGCCCTCTCCGTAGGGCTGGGACGCGCTGCCAGACCCAGCGCAGGCTGCCCGCGGGCTGCCCTAAACAGGATCCGCGAGAAGACCAGAGCCATTGATCCGGTGCYTCCGCGGACCGGCAAGAGCTCGCCGGGAAGCGCGGGGATTCCCCCCGCCTTGCTCGCCGGGAACACGTCTGAGGAACACCGGGGACGCGGGGATGAGGAATGACGAGGGAAACGTGCCCGGGGAAGGAGAACACGGCGCGGGCGGCAGCCTCTTTTGCCCCCTCGCCCCAACAACACCCCCGGGGAGCAGCGGCTCCGGCGGCGGTCACTTCCCTTGGTAGACCCGGGAGCGGATGGCTCCGGCTCCCCGGTGCTTCAATGCAGATGGAGGGGGAAGCGAGAGGAACCCGCCGGAATCCCGGGCAGCCCGGTCCGCCGGAGGCAGGATGCTGCGAGACCCGGCCCGGGCTCGCTTCGCCCCTTGTCCGCCCCCCGCCCCCGGCGCCGCCCGCACCCACCTCGAAGAATCCGGCTCTGCCGCCCATTCTGCGGGCACCCGCCGCGCCCGCGCCGCCCCCGCCGCCCGCGGCACCTTCCGCGGGGCCCCTCGCTGCGGCCAATCAGGCGGCGCCCGGACCCCCCGCCCCGCCC